AACCAGGGAGTGAATAATACAGTGAATAAAAATGGAACTTGATAAAACCTTTTTTGAATTAAATGTTTTTGATTGAAAAATTTTGATAAATTCCATAGACTAATGAACCTGCTGCATACATTATAACTGAATTGACACTCATTTTTTTCTTGCTTAATTATTATTTTCCCACTCTTGTTGCAGAATGCTTGTGTTCAAAATGATCTTAGGTCGCCTTGCATGCACTGTCGTCTATCTACAATGTTTCAGTAATTGATGTTAATTAATATCTGCAAATAATAATTGCACATTAAAAACTGCAGGGATGTGCCTTGTTTAAAGAGTTTCTTAAAAGCTCACCCCCTTGACCCTTTTATACTCACCTTTTCAGCTCTCCCCTCTTAGCATTAAAGTGTTATTAAACCCACAACAGTAAAATCAGTCTATATATGCAGTAAAGCATGCTTGTTATACTCACTATGGAACCTAAGGGGTCACTACACTGTATTGTGTAAAAAGATGTTTGATCCCCCCTCTTCTTCTACTGATAAAACAGCCTTGGGGGCAAGCTGCACATGCTCCGTTTGGTGTGTATTTCTAGAGAGTTTTTTTTCCTTTGAGAGGGTGCATGTTATCAGCACAGGGCCAATCCACACTGTCCAGGCATAGAGTCAGGGGTCATGTAGCCTCATAGGACAGTCAGGGGAGAATGAAAACTCCTACAAGCTTTAACCAGTGCCCTGAGGGACACTGATAGACGTCACAAGACTGCTATATACTGCTGATGAGAAAAGGCATTTAGCAATTTATATTTACTACAATATTTAAATTTCCATGTTTTGTGTGCTCTGGGAGACCAGATATAATGAATGCAGGGTCCTGGGTTTAGTAACACTTTAAATTAGGATATTGTGAGAAGAAAAGATTTTATTTTACAAAGTATTTTATTGAGTTTTTACTTTATGTAAGAGGGTAGTACAAAGCAAAAAAATACCTTTGAAAACACAAAGTACAAAGAGCATTGAGGACAAGGAAGACAATTTCCAACTGACAAAGGATGGTAATGCATATGGACCACAGTACCGACCAGATGTATTGACGCATGCAAAATTTGAACATCAATGTAGCTATAAAACAGTCTACTGGTAATAAGGGCCACCAGCCAAAACTCTGCTTTGCCCCCTAAAAAAAGGGGGAAAAGAATGAAAGGGGAAGGGGAGGGAAAGGGATGACGTTCCAAGGTCTAAAAAGGGAGCATCATGTAAGAGAGGAAAGGAGGGAGAGTGAAAAGAGGTCGCCCAATCTATCTCAGTGGGCAGTGAAAGAGAGGGAGAGGAAAAAGAAAGTAGAATTTGCCGGGGGGAGAGTAAAGGGACAGGGAGAGTGGCCCTTGCTTAGCTCAGGAATGTGCTGTACCTACATTCATAAAGAAAGCAAGGAACAATCTGGATTCTCTTGTTCATTGTAGGTTATCCATAGGTCCAAGAAGAAAGGTTTTTAATTGCAGAAGACACATTTTATTTCTCTTACCTTCCTCCTTAAGGCTACGTTCACACTAGCCTTGTGTGCAGGTGGCAGAAAGGCGTTTGGTAAGCGTTTTTACCGCTTCCCAAACGCCTCTGCCTATTCTGCACATTACAGCACATGGTGCTGTTCTAACGGGAGCGTTTGCGTCGCGTCGCGTTGCGTCGCGGCAAAACGGACGCCTCTGGACGAGTCAGGAGGCTTTGAAGCCTCCTATTCTCGTCTATAGTGCCGCTCCGCAAACGCCCTGCCGGCGTTTGCGGTGCGGTTGCGACGCAGTTGCGGGGCGTTTGCGGAGCGGTAACACCACTCAAACTGCATTATAGGCGTTTGTGGGGCGTTATTAACGCTCGGCAAACGCCTAGCAACTTTTGCTAAACCGCGCATGCGGCGTTTGCGGAGCGTTTGCCGAGCGTTAATAACGCTCCGCAAACGCCGGACCAACGCTTGCCAAACGCTATAGGGGCGTTTGGCAAGCGTTGGCAAAACAGCCTAGTGTGAACGAGCCCTAACTCTGTAAACTTTACACTGAACTGCCTCTGGACAGCTCAGTAAACAATCTTGGCATCTGCCACAATGAATGAACTTCTGTCTGCTTGCATGGGAGTTACATCATCCTGGCCTGGTCAATCAAGATAACTAAAAATATCAAACAGGGCGAAAGCTGGAAAGAAGTTGCCGCCAAGATATCTCGCGGACATCACAGTGCTGGAGGGGAGGTGAGTATAGTTCCACTATAGTTCAATCTTCTGTGTTTGGTAAAAAGCACATGACCTCCTTCAAGGATGCATTGTTCTGGTCTGAGCAGCCAGTTGCCAAGTCCAAACACCATCATGTTATGGAGGTGAGAAAGTCATCAATTCTGTGTAAGCTCCAACACCAATGACATGGAGCTTGCACACTCCTGACTCAAACAGATGAACAAAACAGCAAAGAAGCATAGCAAAAGGGAGTCTAAGTGGGTAAACTTCCAAGGACACAGTCTCTTTATGATCATTTTGTGTAGAGATATTAACTCACTTAAAGAAGAAAAATTAATAAACTGCCTACATTAGGGCTCAGATTTACATGTTGGGAGCACACACAAAATTGTGCACTTTCCTGACATGCAGAGAAAAGCACTGTACTTTAGCAGGCGCGCAATGGTGCTATTAATTGTTTATGCAAATGTGTGTTCACCAAACCGCATGGTGCTGTGCATTTGTGAAAAGAGACAGGGACTTTTTTACAATGTTTCTTACACCTATGGATTACCCTATACACAACTCACGGGAATGCGCAGATACATGCCTGCATTTTGTTGCAACTTTAGTTGCGAGTTCCCCAACCTTTTGGACAAAATTATTAATCTGTTACTAAAGACTTCACAGCAGAGATTAATTAGTAAGCATGTGAACACACAATGGGCAATTGCCAGCAAATTCCAGGAATATACACCACTGGAACACTTACAGATCAAGTGACTAAAAGCTGCAGAAGTCAGATGATGGCAGCTTAGTGAGCAGTCTTAATAATTCTCTTTGGGCTGTTGGACACAAGACTGCATGCTAAGGTTAATAAAACTTATATTTTCATTACATACCTTATATTAGACCAGTAATGTCAACAATGCATCCCTGAGCTTCTCCATGCAGTGCTAACAGATCATGGCTGGTAGGACGGTGTTGTGCATAGCATTCTGAAAACTGTATCTAAAACTAAACATTTTTGTAAGTTTTGGCTAGAGTTAAGGTAGCTTCCAGTTTTGATTGCAGTACCTCAAATATCTCCTTAGAACATCACAATCATTAACTGATGCCATTTTAGGTTAAAGTCTTTTGATTTTTCTTGTTAAACACCTGGCAATCAGTCACTTTCTTGATGATAATTAGCAATTGGCCAGCAGTCGGGTTTGCTAATTAACTGTTGGCCATGACACCTCTTTTAAATGTACAGGGCGGTCAGTAACCCTCGGAAGCTATGAAAGTCCTCTTATTTTCCAAGAGACGAACTCTGGCTCAATGTCAAGCCACTTAGCCAAAACTGAGCATGATTATATTACTCAAGCAATAGTTTAAGTGAGATTAATTGAAGTGAAGAATAACCCCTGAAGCAGTAGAGAATAAATTAAAGGCAGAGACTGATCTACGTGTCAATCACTTTGAATTCCATTGAGACCAATTTCACTTTTATCAAATGGTTTTGGCATTCTGAATAGGAACAAGACTTCAAAGTAAAGAGATAGTGGTTAAAATACTTTGTTTTGAATTTTAAATTATTGTGAAGTATTCAAATGTAAACTATAAGGAAAAAGGTGTTCATTGATAGGCTGACAATGTGGAATGTTTTTGGGGGGGCTAATCCTATGACAATGTCCCTGTGTGTGGCATGAGAATGACTGGCAGGCCTTCGTGTCAAAAGATCAGACCAAATTTTATGTAGCATTCTGTTCCTTGGCTGATAAAATCAAGATGAATAAAAGTAACAAGGCGTTTTTCAATAATTCCTCCTATCCTGTGAAGGGCAGGCATGGAACTGTGGATAAGTGAAAAGAAGATCATCTGTGGGTCTGAGTTTTTTTCCAAGCTTTAGGCTGCTATTTATAGAGATCTTATCACTTTCCAGATATTAAAGAGATGGTGACACTTTTTGTATTTTGAGGTAAAACATTAGAGTCGTCATAAATCCCACACCTACTTAAACTCATCTTTGCCTCTCTGTCAGAGCATCCCTATAAATACCCATTGCTTTTGGCCAATGTGGGCAGATGTGGTCTTCTCCCTGGGCAACCGATCACCAGGCCTTAACACTGTCACATAAAGGAGTGCAAAACATCATCATTCCCATGTAATGAATAGTTTCCCTCTACTGCTGATCTGGTTATAGTTCAATATTTTGTTCTCAGGAACAATGGTCACGAGGATAGAGACTGCAAATCTCCCTAACAGTGACAGACGGCAAAGGCAACCTGACATGACATCACCAATCAATCTAAAACAAAAAATGTTTTCGCTATAGATACACTTTAAGAACATGATAGATTTTAGATTACTATTTCCAAAACCTGTTTTGGTTAGCTTTGTACTACATGTGCCTCATTATGGAATAAAACAAATGGCTTTGGTCATCCTTTATTAAAAAGAACAATCTAAACTGGAATTTTCAAAAGATCATGCATTATTATCATTGTAGGGAATGATACTGAGTGGCACCATTGTCCCAGTGGTGTGCAAAGGGTACAATTGTTAACATCCAAAGCCAAACTAGATCCATAGTGCTTAAATATTTTGCTTTAATGGGGCCAAGTATGGCCACCTTTTCACTATCACACATGATCCCTATGTTGTCTTGTATGCAATTATCACTGTATGTAAATTAAATTCTAACATTCTTTTTTCCCTCAACAGATGGCACTGGATAGCATTTCTAGCCCTCTGCTCTTCACCTGCAATACTGCCAAATACACATGAGATTATCAAGGGTCAGCTTTTAGAACTGATTTGTCCACCTCTCTCTACATGGCCGTATATTTGGTTGCCGTGCTGCTCCTACTGACCCCGTGTCAGCCAGTTCCTCTTGATTTCCCACCTCTTTCAAATTCTTCACTATTCCTTGAAGAACTTAGCAATACTACTGAACATTACTCCATCCAGCCGCCAGGTACAATCCGCCGGACACCTCAGACAATCATTGTCGGAGTTCGGAAAGGTGGGACCAGGGCTTTGCTTGAAATGTTGGACATTCACCCAAACATTGTAGTAGCTGCTACTGAAGTACATTTCTTTGACTGGGATGAAAACTATGTGAAAGAGATTGAATGGTATAGAAGCCTTATGCCTTTCTCATTTGAAAATCAAATTACTATTGAAAAGACTCCAGGTTATTTTACATCACCACTGGCTGCTGAAAGGATTCATAGCATGAACAGCTCAATTAAGCTGCTTCTAATTCTTCGAGACCCTACAGAGAGGGTCATATCGGATTACACCCAAGTTTATTACAACAGACTGGAAAACCACAAGCCAGTGCAGCCTTTTGAAGGAATCGTGATTAAAAATGGTGCACTTAATACCAAATATAAGGCAATCCAAAGGAGCTTGTATGACATACACATGGAGAGATGGCTGAAACACTTCAGTTTAAATCAGATCCACATAGTGGATGGAAATACTTTAATTAAAACACCTCTTACAGAACTGCAGAAAGTGGAGAGGTTCCTTAACCTCCCTCCTAGAATAGTATCTTCAAACTTTTATTTTAACCAAACCAAGGGGTTCTATTGCATCAGAAGTGATGGCCGAGAAAGGTGTTTACATGAGTCTAAAGGGCGTCCACATCCTATAGTAAATGAAACAGTCTTGGAGCAACTTTACTCTTATTTCAGAGAACATAATCAAAGGTTCTACACAATGGTTAATCAAACGTTTGACTGGCACTAGCACCAACCACCATCAAACAGAGAAATCTGTGGAAAATGCCAAGCTGTGATTTAAATCCGTGAGATGCTGTAAAAAGTGGAAAAAGAATTTTAAAAATGTACTTAATGGCCATAAAGCATAAACATACAAAAGAAAAAAAATGTGTTTACAAATGAGAAAATATTGAGCCCAAAACATTTCCTTTATTTATTGTAAATAATGATATGCAATGCATTATTCTGATTTGTTCTATAATTTTTTCCAATTTATATGTACGTAGACACCTATAGAAAGATTGTGCAGTAGAAATTGTTTGAAAACATTTGATATTGAATTCCTCTTTGCTACGGTAACAAGAGCCTAAAAAAGAAAAAAATTTCCTATGTTAAACCGTGTGTAAATGGAAAAATAATTTTGTATTACTGCTAAGCTATATGTTACTGTCTTTAATGAAAATTTTATTTAATGTTCTTAGTAAAGGTATTCTGGGATAGTAGGAAAATGTGACACTCTTTTGTATGTTTTATTTAACTAGCAAGGACTTGTTTTGCACCTGTTCAACCAGCAAAGTGATCTGTGATGACCACCATTTTTTAATTTTTTTTTTCCTCTGTCCTTTTTATTCTTCAGTCTTTGCCCTGTCATATCATCTTTTTTTCCCTTTTCAGTTTTTATTTTCCCTTTTCCTTTTTCTTTTCTTCCTGAATCCTTTATTTTTTTCTGCTTCATCTCTATAGTCTGAGACCACTGCATGGCCCTCTAAATGACACATAATATTGATTATATGTTGTAACATGCTGGTGTGAAAACCATTTTTTTCTGTCCCTGTAACTACCATTTAAGTGACTTGCACCTTGTTGAATTAGCACTTTCTTCTCTGAATCCAAACCTTAAAAAAAAAAAAAAACCATAAGATTTTAAATGGGACCTAAATAATTTGTACAACTGTATATTTGGAAGACTGCATCAATATGCAATAATGACATTTTACAGACTGTATAACTTCCTCTTTAGTTGAATACAAATGATTATTTCTTAATAGTGGTCTGTGTCCTTGCTCTGTGTATGCCATACGCTCTTTATACAGCACTATGAGTAATGGTTTTAATAGAACTGACAGATAATTAGCATAAACCACAACGCTGAATGGGACCTGCTTAAAATCTGTTCATTCCATTCTCTTTACTGATGCTGATGTAGGACTTTAACTTTATAGAACAGTATATATCTGCCTCTCATTGTCTTTCCACTGCATTCACTATTGTTCTACCATCAAGAAAGATCCATAAAGAATGCCAGTAATGGTTGTGCAGAATTAATAAAACATAATGTCATTATATATAAAGGGATTGATTAAATATTTAAACGAAGGCAATGAATATAATGGGTCTAAATGAAATCTATATTTCTTTTTGCTTTTTAAGCCACACAATACTGGGAGAACAGTATCAAGGCTGGCACAGTGTGAATCAGGTACTGATTCAGATCATTTGACTCTTTAGAAAAAAAAAGGGCCCCCCTACGTATTATGTGCATGTGAACCAGCTGTGTAACATAACCCCAATGCAGTTTCAGAAAAATGGAAATACAGAAACCTGCTGTTTTATGGGGACTCTTTTTATCTAATAGTCCTACACATGTATGCGAATTTATATAAAAAAAAAAAAAAAAAATAGGAACTTGTTAATGGTTATTGCTACTCAACATTTAGCAGATAAACAGGTCCAATCCCTTAAACCCCCTTTACTGCAACAGTATCTTCTCCTTACATGATACACATAGATGAAACTAATCCGTCTTCATAAGTTGTACCTTTTTATATCAGCAATCTATCCTGTACATCCATTCAAAGTGTACAATTTACACAGAATCTCTCAGCTCTAAAAATCAGGGGGTGGGAAGCTGGAGTTATACTGTGCAGAGCTCAGTGACAGCTGACTGGAGGGAAGGGACACCACCCCCCCCCCCTTCAGACAGCACAAAGAAACAGAGATGAGGCTGTCAATCACAGGCTGAGTGCTGGAGCTCCCTCTCCTGTCACCTTTTTTCTTGGCATCAGGAAAACATGTAAAAAATGACTCATGGTGATAAAGGAACCAGGCAGCAGAAAGAAATGACAATTAGTGCTTAGTGCTCTGGACTGAGACAAGAACACACTTGACTTTTCATATCTCAGGTTTACAACAAATGTAACTCTTTAGTATATTCTATGGTCATACATTCATTGAGCGTAGAGATGCAGGTAAAGCCTTTTAAGGGTGTCTGTTGATAGACTGCATATAAGCAGCAAAGAAGGTAAGAAAAAGTCATTGTATTTAGTTATTGTTATTATGGGATGCAGCATTTTAAAGAGAACACATTTGGATAGAAACATGAAAGCCTCTGGCCTGTTTTTGAAGGTAGGAATTTGGGGCTGTCACCCTTTTTTTTACTTTGTTTTAATTGCTGTGTTAGAAAAAAATGCAGTTAGGTGTCCCAGAAGTCCACTGGTGGCATGCCTATTTCAGGCCAGCATCTCACTAAATAATGAAACAAGGATAAGGATGACAGCCCAAGCAATTCTACCTCTAAAAAGAAGTCTGTCCTGTAAAAAAAAAAAATGTTTTCTGATACTGGGGATTATTTTAAATGTGAATTTTGTTAACTGTCATTTACCAGTATGGGTTTAAATCTGGTTGTATTGGTTATATATATATACACACACACACACACACACACTGTATATAGTACTTTTTGTATACAATCTATTAAATGAGCTCTCTCTTTCTGTTTTGACTCAATCACATGGGTTGTATGCATCCGTAACCCATGTGAGGGCTGTGTATACCCCACGTGGAAGCTCAGGTGTCCTGTACATCTCCATGCAGGCAGTTTCATAGCTTTCAGTTGGCTGTGTGGACACAGTTGTTGCTGCTGCTGCGACATCCATGCAGGTGCGGGTACAAGGCCCCAAACACATCTCTATCTATCCCCCAGCACACACACACACACGCACACTTCCTAAGCTCTCTCTCTCTCTCTCTCTCTCTCTCTCTCTCTCCAACAGGACACAAATGAGAAAACATTTTTTAGTAGAGTAAAAAAGGGCTAGAACTTCTTATAAAGTGTTTATTGCTGTCTGTGCCTTCTTGACAAGCACTCCTCCTATTTGAGGTCATGGGGTCTATTTATTAAAATTTTGGTTGATTAATTCTGAATTATTATTGCTTGATACAGTGATTTTCTATGATCATCAGCGCCATCTAGTGGTCACAATGTAGTATTTTCTTCTGCTTGAGGTATTTCAAGAAATTATGGATTATGACCACTAGTTGGAGCAGATGATCAAAGGAAATCCCTGTATTAACCACTTCCCTACCAGAGGATTTTTTTTTTTCATTTTTGCACACATTAAAGTGTACATTTTAGACCTAAAATTTAGTCTCACCCTCCCATATTTTCTGAAAGCAAAAACCCTAGAGATATGATATTAACACACATGTTTTTCAGTAAAAATTATGTTATCGTTAATTTTAATGCACAAGTATATTGCCACATTTTAAGTACAATTTAAAAGAGGAGGTTGTGATGAGTAAATAGATACCAATGTCAAATTTCTAATTGTGCACACCTGTGAAAAGGTGACAAACCTTGGTGCCCATAATTGTCCATAGGCTATGCTTTAAAAGCTTTTACAGGTCATCAATTTAAAATTTGTTTTTATTTTATTACAGATACTTATATAGCGCTGTCAATTTACATAGCGTTTTATATTTACAGCATATTGCACAATTACAGCAGCCCTACCCACAATCTAAGGTCCCCAACTCACATTCATACATACACATACTAGGGCCAATTTAGACAGGAGCCAATTAACCTACCAGCATGTCTTTGGAGTGAATGAATGATGGCCCTACAATTAGTGCCCTTAGGCTGACATTTTCAACGATATGCAACATATATAGGGCAACTGTTGTTTTTGTACATAGACTAACCTACCGCCTGCATTTATGCTCTTATGTGCGTGTAAATGGGGACTCTAAACTTTTTTTTTGTGAATGTTTTGTTTTTATTATATTACTTTTATTTATTTTTTACAATTAACTTGATTACTATCACATAGGAGGCAATAACTAGCCTAAAGTTCCTCCTTTCCTAGCACTCAACCCTACATCAATTTATCATTCTAGCAACTACAAAGTGTATGAGTGCTTGTACAGAGTCTAGACTGGCATATATTTCACCTTTGTCTCTACAGTCCAGCCAAGGCACTATGCAGGGAAAGAAACAGGTATGACAAGGACTGCACTGCTTTCAGATAAATAGTAACCCTTTCTCCTAGTTTGGTGAGATTTAAATTTATTGTAGGTAGCAGTACAGTGATGAATTATCATATCTTTTTGCTTGCAATGCTCAACATATTTTGCAAGCCTAGACAGAAATGGGTACAAAACACATTTTAAATTCTGATATGCGTAAGTCCACGGAAGTGCCTATTTGAAGTATGAATCTAATTACGCAGGGCAGTTTAGCATCTCCTAATTATGCAATGCTGCCATCTTCTGGTACTTTTCAATACACCATATTTATCATGCAGAAATATTTTGTCTAGATTTGAATAAAAACCCCACTTTTAACTGTAATAGAAACCTAAACTATACAATAGATATCACTATATGAAGCATTTAAATCTGAAGAAAGATATAAAAGACACGAATAATGCAGCCGTGTAATCAATAACACATAATTAAATGTATTTTTAAATGCAAGCAATGTAAGTACTTGAATTTGACCTGGTACCAACCTGTGGCTGTCCCTGTACAGCAGGGCTGGAGTGCGAGCAGGAGAAGCAGTAATGGAGCCAATCAGTTCATCTGTTGATGAGGAGCATGGTAAGCAGAGTGACAGAGAGGTGTGTTAATCACTGGAGAGAAAAACACAGAAGCGCCAATCTGAGTGTAGATTTTAATTAAAAGATGGTTTTAATGTAGGTAAACAACTCACAAAAGACAAGTAGTTCAGCGAATGTAAGCAGGAAA